ACCAGCCAGCTGTTTCATTTTCACCCCAAGTATCTAAACAGGGATACTCACCAGAAATAATCAACGCGGAAACACAATAGAACAAAACTCAGTGAATCTCTGCCGAGCCCCCAGAACTGAGCTGTACTTAAACAGCATCTTCAAAGGGTGATGTTTAAGGTTTTCTGGTAGGTTAATTTTGTACCTCCCTTCCACTCACCAAACTCACCTTATTATAAACAACACATTTGCTTTAAAAAATTCTTCTTTAAAAAGTTACTTTAATTTGAAAAAATACTATATTGCTCTGAAATTGTACACTTCTTGGGGGCTTCTTTAAAATAGCTTGAATGGATTTTTGGCACCTAATTTACCGTTGTCCTAAAATTGCTTTGTACCATAGGAGTATGATTGCCTATGTTTTCCCTATAGGAGGAAAAAATATATATCAAAATGAGAGGAAACCAAAATTGGGAAAATAGTAGGGAAACATATTCACATATATAAAATATTAAGAACATACATTTGCAGAGAAACTGGAAAGTGCCTCCATTTTCCCATAGCTCTGAGAGTGCTTAAAAGAGCATTACTTTCATCCCATTATGTTTACTCTCAGTTTGTTGTCATAGATTTGGCAAAGCAGAATTTTCCACGAGCAAATTCTGCTGATACAAAATAAGATTTCCAATTGCTTCATTTCATGTGCATGTTTTGAGCACCTTTTCATTTAACACGAATTTTACCAAGTGTTTCTCTGGTGTTTTAAGCTTTTAGTACATAAAAAGAAATAAGAAACATCCCTTTCCTTGTGGCCTGTCAAGGAGATGGATGTGTATTGAAAGAACAAGAGAAAATGCGATAAATGTTGAATCCAGAGAATGAAACTCCTCATGTGGCCTATTAGGGAGAGGTGATCTGAGAAAGCTTCCTGGAGGAAGCAGTATGTGAACGGTGTCTTCAAGAATTAGAATAGACTATACTTAGAAATGGTTAAAATGGCACATATAGGAGGCCGGCCTGGTGGCGTAGTGGTTAAGGTCGCACACACCACTTCAATGGCCTGGGGTTCGCTGGTTCAAATCCCAGGCATGGACCTACACAGCACTTACCAAGCCACACTGTGGCAGGTGTCCCACATATAAAGTAGAGGAAGATGGGCACAGATGTTAGCTCAGGGCCAGTCTTCCTCACCAAAAAGAGAAAGATTGGCAGTGCATGTTACCTCAGGGCTAATCTTCCTAAAAAAAAAAAAAAGGCATATATATATATATATATATATATATATATATATATAGTAAAAATATTTTTTAAAAAGCACATTGTGGGGCTGGCCTGGTGGCACAGTGGTTAAGTTCACATGCTCCACTTTGGCGGCCTGTGGTTTGTGGCTTTGGATCCTGGGTGCAGACCTACATACTGCTCATCAAGCCATGCTGTGGTGGCATCCCACATACAAAAAATAGAGGAAGATTGACACAGAAATTAGCTCAGTGCCAATCTCCCTCACAAAAACAACAAGAACAAAAAGCACGTTGGGGTTTATCCTTTTAGAATCCCTCCACTGTTTTGTAGAAACCCAAGATAGCCACTAGAGAGGCCACAAGGAGAGAAACCAAAGTGCCTTGGCCAACATCTCCGGCGATCTTAGACCTTCCAACCATTCTAGCTGCCCTCTGACTGAAAGTGCATGAGTGAGCCCAGGCCAGACTGGCAGAAGAACCACCCACCAAGCCACAGAATCTTGAGAAATAATAAACAATGGTTTGTTTGGTTTTTTTTCCGCTTTATCTCCCCAAACCCCCCTCCCCCCGTACATAGCTGTATATCTTAGTTGCAGGTCCTTCTAGTTGTGGGATGTGGGACCCCGCCTCAACGTGGCCTGTTGAGCGGTGCCATGTCCATGCCCAGAATCCGAACCCTGGGCCGCCGCAGCAGAGCTCGCGAACTTAACCACTCGGCCACGGAGCCGGCCCCTAAATGGTGGTCGTTGTAAGCCACTTGAAAAAAGAAGAGTAGGAGTTCACTGAGTGGAGAGGGAAAGGGCAATTGCGGCTTGAGCAGGAATTGCTCAAAAAATTGTGTTTAAGGAAAGGAAACACATAAAGGGACCTGATTCTTGCTACCCATCTTGGTGTGACAGGCCCTAAGAGCTGGCATTTACAGAACTCTTCCTGTATACCAGGCAATGTTCTAAGCAAGGTTCATGCATTACTTCATTGAATCCTCACAACAACTTAGATGAGGAAACTGAGATAGAGAGAAGGGGAATAAGTTGTTGAAGGCTACACAGCTAGTCAGCGTCTTTGACCCTCTGACTATTGCCCACATTCCAGTCTTAGGGACCAGAAGAAAAGGACCTCCATCCCCCACCACGGCCTCCTTTCCAAGCTGGAGCTGATATATGAGAAACCTGGTTGTCATAGATACGCTGAGACATTGGTCTCTCTCCCCTCACATTTACTGGAGAACTCTGACCAGGCGCTGGCCCAGCACTACCGGTATGCTGTAAAAGTAATTTTCTCTGAGTGTGTCAGCTGTCGTGGTCCTACTCCCATACACCTCTTGGTCAGGCGATATGTCAATGTATACTTTACTTTATACTGCCACTTCCACTCTTGGATACAACGCCCACTCCTTGGAGGCTAAGCCAGGCTGTTGGCCTGTCCTCTCTCCTCCTCATCGACTTTCCTCCCTCAGTTGCATGACGGCTTGGGAAGCACCCTGGTTCCCTTTTCATATCATCCTGGAGCTGTAGAGGTCACATGGCATCTCAGTTCCTTCACCGTCTCATCTTCAATAACTTTTTTCTCTATTCCACTTCAGCCAGGTCCTCACTCTCACACCCTACTCTCTTCATCTGAGGTTATTCATTAAGACATCCATCTCCTCTAAGGATAACCTCCATCTTCCTGCCTTACTCCATCCATCAGCGACTTCCATTGCACCTGTTCCAGGACCTTCAGGCCAGTGACATGAACCTTTCCAGAATTCTCTTACCTCTCCAGTATCCATTCTGTGGCCCTTTGTTTTGTTTTTTTTTTTTTCCGAGGAAGATTAGCCCTCAGCTAACTACTGCCAGTCCTCCTCTCCTTGCTTGAGGAAGCCTGGCTCCGAGCCAACATCCGCGCCCATCCTCCTCTAGTTTATACGTGGGACGCCTACCACAGCATGGCTGCCAAGCAGTGCCATGTCCGCACCCGGGATCCGAACCAGCGAACCCCGGGCCACCGAGAAGCGGAACGCGCAAACCCAACCGCTGTGCCACCGGGCCGGCCCCTGTGGGCCTTTGTTTTAAGCACTCTTGAAAGCAGAGCTCTTAAGCTCTTGACTCCGTCACACCTGTCTGACAAAACTCCTTCCTTGGACTAATCCAAGTGCTTGCTGTTTGTGTGCCTGTATCTTGACTGTTCAAATAACTATAGAAAAATCTCACAAACCATTATATTAGTATCACCATAAATTCAGAGTCTCCATTCTCAATGGGGCCCTCAACATTGTCTTTGAAATCTTATCATATTTCCCTGCACTCCAACTTGCCATGGCGACTATTTCAAATTTGCAATCAAACTTGACTATAAACTTCATGAGGTTGGAGTCCCTGTCTGGTTTTTTCACCACCGACTCTCCAGTGTCTAGGATCGGCTTAATACATAGGCACTCAATAAGTATCCGTTTACTGACGGAAGTATAGTAATAGTGGTGAGTATTTTATGTAAATATTAGCTACATACCAGGTTCTATTCTTTGTGAGTTACATGTATTATCTCATTTAATCCTCACAACAACCCAATGAGATTAGTTAGGACTTTCGTCCGTCATTCCTGTGTTACAGATAAGGAAATTTAAAGAGGCAGCTTGAGTGGATATTCAATCCTTAGAACGTATAAATGCTCAGCATGTACAGATGATTTCAGTTTTAGATTGAGTTTTACGTGTCTGAGGGACAATCAGGCAGCTGTGCTTCACACTGGAGCTCAAGAGAGAAGTGAAAGTGAAGATTAATATTTCGGAGGGGACGGATAATCTGGTGACCTTGGAAAAGAGAATATCCAGCCTTGTTCACACCCTCCAACAGGCCCCCAAGGGGACTGTGGAACTGTGGTGGTACGTGTGCAAGAGCACATTTGGGTGTTAAAAGTGTGTTTTGGTTTTTTTTCCCATGTGAGCAAAGAGATCTATCATATGTTTGAATACATGGGGGTGGATCTATAGTGTATTTGTTGGTCACTGTAATATTGGTTAAGGATCTCCCAGGGCTGAAATTCAGCATTGACTTTTTTTTTCTCCTTTTGCTAAGGTGCATTTTTGAGGGACACTTTCTGGGATGTAGGAGAGATGTCATACCTTTCACCGTGGCTTTCCCCACTGATTCCCTCTGAGAGAGAGAGAGGGAGACTTCAAACTCTGAGCTCCTGTTCTCTGCTAGTCCTCATATCTCATGGAAACTTCCCTGCAGTTCTTGAGGAAGGTAATTATCATCTCCGTTTTACAGATAATGAGTAATAACTAACATTTACTAAGCGTTGTTATGTGTCAAGCACTGGGTTGTTTTTAAAGCATCATCCCACTCGAGTCTCACGGCAATACTCTAAAATTGTAACTTGTATGGATGGGAAACCCGAGAGTCAGACAGAGAGGGGAGGTGTCTTGTCCTAAGATACACAGCAAATTAAGAGCTGGCATTTGAACCTGGGTCTTTCCGACCCAGAGGCTAAGCTGCCTCATCACTCATTTCTGGATGAACCGAGGGCTTTTTTCTGTGGAAGCGGGGAGAAAGGAGGAGATCCAGGGAGAAAGAAGGAGAACGCTAAGTTTGATTTCCACGTAATGCAAATCCAGAAACCGGGCCATATTTTCCAGCTCGCAGCTCATCGCTGACCCAGGATTTACCCGGGACCGGGCAAGTAGCGCGCATGCGCATGACCTCCCGATCGGCCCCGCCCCCCAGGAGGGCTTCGCTCCTCGCTCTCGGCTCTGGGGCTTGCGCACTACGTCCTTCCCGGTCGGGGACTTCCGGCGCGTGGGGTGCGGTTCCGGGTCGCGGCGCGGCTCAGGGCAACAGGGCTGCTGCTTGGCCGGCCGGCGGCGGCGGCGGCGGCGGGCAGCGAGGGTATGAGGGCGAGCCTGGAAAGCGGCAGCTGAGCGGGCCGGGAGAAGCGCCAGTCCCCGAGGATTCTGAGAGTGCGGAGCTCGGAGCAGGGCCCGGGAGGCGCGGGGGAACGTGTCCCGGGGCCGCCCCGGCCCATAGTGTGGCAGCAGCTTCAGGTAAAGGTAGCCCCAGCCGCCAGCTCCCTCGCTCGCTCGCCGGCCAGCCCACCCGAGGAGCCTGGGGGTCCTCCTCCCTCCTCTGCTCTCGTCGCTGCCTGGCGGGCAGCCTGTCCGGCCCTTGCTCTGGTCTGCCGTGAGCATCCGTTTCCTGGCCCTTTCCAGAACTGGAGGCTGCTGTGAGCCTCACAGCTGGGTGTGTGATTTGGAGGAGGAGAAGCTAGTGGACCTGGCGGTGTTGGGGGGTGGGAGGGTACTGTTGGCTCCGGCAGTTTCTGGCCCTGCACTCGGCAACGTCTAGGTGTCCTAATCTTGATAACGCGAAAATCAAGTTTTTAAAGTCCCTAGCGCCCCTTCTCCCCATTGCCTCCAAGGGGTAAACGGCCTCCAGAACTGTTTTTCTCTAGCTGGAGTGCTGCTGGAACTTTGATTCAGCTTTTTGTTTATGAGAGCGGCCAGGAGTCTTCTAAATCTGTTTTAAGGCTGAAAAAAATGATTGTAGCTTAAGCAAGAGTATTACTTTCACCGGAGACCCAAAAGTTGACTCAGAAATTGGTTAAAATTTCGTTCTGAATGAACGCAAGTAGTTTTTGAAGCCTGGCACGGTACCTGGCACTGTGCAAAGCGTCATGTTGTTATAAACCAAAACCAGCAAAGTTTGAAATTTCCCCAGGTGTGAACAGTCAGATGGAGACAAGTGTTTACACACATCAGTTAAAGTCAACATTCTCATTCTGTTTTTGACAAGCAGAAGGGTGGATTCTTAATTTAAAAATACACTCGAGCAGGAAAAGGAGACCCCATGTTTTACGCTTCCTATTCTGTGAGCCCACACGAGGTGCTCAGTGAACCCAAGAGTTCTTGATGGAGCATTGATAGTTGTTTTCATCTTTTCGGTTTACGCACTTGCAAGCTTGCTGGGGCCTATGAGGCGTGCTGCTGGCCCCTTTGCCATTCAGCTTTGTCCTCATACCTTCCTTCAACTACAGTGAGACCAGGTTGCACTCAGGTCCCTCCACATCTCCTAATCTGGCTCCTGACTAACTGCAGCCTCCTTCCTTAATGACCCTACCCATATCCTCTACTCAAGATAAGTAGGACCTCAAATCACCTTTGTTCTTTCCTTGTCTGGTGTTTTTTGTAGGATGTTCTCCCTGCCTAGGAAGTTTCTCCTTTTGGATTTCTACCTGTTGAGATGTTACTCAGGGCCCAGCTGAAACTGGCCTCCCTCAGCCAATTCAGGACAACCCCAGCTGCAAATGATTTCTTTGTAAAATCCTATAAACACTCATTATTACTTCTACAGTTATTTCACTTAGCAGACATTTACTGAGCATGGATATATACCAGCTACCATGCTAGACAATGTGGAGATAAATAAGACACAATGTGTGCCTACAAGGAGCTCCATTTAGTTAAGGAAATAATTCCAACACAGAGAGATAAGTATGCTGTGTGAGAGTTCTGTCTCTGTTACAGTGGTAGCACAGGAAGCAGATGGGTTATTAACTTTTGAGGAGTGTGCTATGGCCAGGTAATGCTGCATAATGTGGGGTTAACTAAGCTTTATTATTTACTATGTACTGGATATTATATATAGGTTTCTCTTGTTTAATCATTTTAACCTCAAACTCCAGATTAGGAAGACTCAGGATAAATTACACATCTGGTACAAGACAGAGCCTGGAGTCAAACCCAGGTCTGTCTGATGCCTACATCTGTGCTTTTTCCGTTATGTGTTTTGCCTTCTTTCTCGCAACATAGCCCTCTATAAGCAAGTACCTATTGAAACAACTATACAAGGGAGAAAATATGAATGTCAAAATAAATGGTACAGATAGTCCTTTAAAAGTAGAGAAGACTGAATTTCCAAGGCAAGAAGGTCGTGGATGGGTCTGCTCAACTTTGAATATGAGCAAGGAAGATATTTTGTAGAGAATAACTGTGGACTCAGAATTCAATTCCTGGTCCCTTCTTTTACCAGATATGTGACCTTTGGCAAGTTTCTTAATTCTAAGCATTATTTTCCTCAAGTATGGGTTGGGCTAGGGGGGTAATACTGGTCTCATGGAGTGTCATGAATATTTAATGAGCTGATATGGGTAAAGGGCCTGATACATGGTAAGGTCCCTTGAAGTGATAGCTGTAAGATGCAGAGGTGCAAGGCCTGTGGCATGGTTTTAGAGTGGTGAGTAGACCAGCCTGAATCAAGCAAGCCCTTGCTGCTTTTAGTGGGGATACCAGGAAGTAAAGTTGGAGGGTCAGTAGGGGTCAGAGTCAGTGAGGGCTTGAGGGTCAGGCAAGAGAGGTAAATTCTAGTTTCTGCTCATAACTTTTCCAGTTAAATACTTTGAGGATCTGTGATTGATTCAGCAGCGCCAGGGAAAATGTTAGACCCTGGGGATGCAAAAAGGAATAAAACCAGGTCCCCACTCTGAAGTTGTTGACATTCCAGTGGGAGAGACCAATGAGTGTGCAGGTGAATGGTAGTAAAATACTGTAGGTACTAAGATGGCAGTACCCACAGGGTACTGTGGAGCACGAAGGAAGGAACACTGATGATGGTAGCTAATGGGCACTTACTGTGTGCCAGTGTTGTATTAAATGCATTATCTTAATTATTCCTGTACAGGAAGGTGTTATAAAGCATTCTGATTTTACAGGTGAGGAAACTAGAGCACGGAGAGGTTAAATAAATTCCTCAAGTTTCTGTAGCTCTTGGAGCTGTCAGTAGAGGGGCTTATCTGCTGGGTTTTGGTATCTTCACTCTTCAGTACTATACCATATTGTTTCATCTTTGCGCTGTGCATGGGGACCCTCTGGACAGCCTTCAGAGAGGAGCTAGGTCTTCAGCCGTGCCTTCAGTGTGCCCATCACTTCTAGGCCGTAGGGATAATGAGCAATAAATGTGGTCTCTGCACTCAAGGGGCTCATTACCTCACTGTCGCGTAAAGTGCATTTCTTTTTTTAGTAGGGGATTTGTTTTGCCTGTTGATTCATATCTGAAGACTTTAGAAACTGTTGCAGTTCAGTGGATTTATCTATACTTCAGGCCAAGAGAATTTGCTGGATATCTTTTATTCTGATGTATAGGCCTTATTGTTAATGACACAGCAGTAGATACCAAATTATTATATGACAGGTAATTCTGTTGTTTTACATTTTTTCCCCGTGAGAGGTACCCTGACCTTGTGTTTTCTGTGAGTTTGAAGTTTTTGAGAAGTTTTGACTCAAAAGTTAGCACATTTCAGCTTCTGTTAAATTTAAAATAATTGAGCACTTATATTTTAGTTATTGTTAAATATTTGTGTATGCTTTATTTCCTTCAATCTTCATGATTCTGTAAGATAAGTGGTATTATCCCATGTAACACCTGAATAGCCTAAGGCTTAGTGATTAAGTGTGATACCCCAGAGTCACACATTAGTGAGTGATAATGCCAGGAAAAATTGGCCAGGGGCTGGCCCCATAGCCTAGTGGTTAAGTTTGACACGCTCTGCTTTGGTGGCCTGGATTCAGTTCCCAGGCATAGACCTACACTACTCATCAGCTGCCATGTTGTGACGATGAGCCACATACAATATAGAGGAAGATTGGCACAGATGTTAGCTCAGGGCCAATCTTCCTCAAGCAAAAAGAGGAAGATTGGCAACAGAAGTTAACTCAGGGTTAATCTTGCTCAGCAAAAAAAAAAAAAAGCCAAAAAGGAGTAACAAATATTTATTAACTTAGTTCTCTTTTGAGCATATACCTCAGGGGTCTCCAATTCGAATGCGCATGATATAAAGAGTAGGACAGTAGGTCATATGCGAACTGGAGGGTATATGACCAGCCTGAAGGTAACAGTCACTGCTCAGCTCCAGTTGTTTGTTGCTGTGTGAGGAAGTGGGCCCAGTGTCCCTGGATCCTCTGTTTTCAAGAGATGCTGGAAATCTGTATTTTAACATATTTAGTTTAAGAATTTGCCATTTAAAAAATTATTGTGTAGGCCAAAACGCATTTGTGGGCTGTGTACTGTCCTGGGCTGCATGATTGTGAACTCTCATCTGCCCCATCTCTGAAATTTTGGTACCCGCTGTTCAAAGCAGGAGATACAACACACGTTATGGTTATAGATCCAAGGTCTACTGATAAATTGCCAGAGTGAGGTGGTATTGTAGTCGACTCATACTAATATCTTCGGGGAAGTGGCAGAGTGAATGCTTTTGTTATGTAATCAGGCTAAATTTCAGGACGCATGAGGTTTGGATGAGGAGATGACCTTGGAATACTTTTGTGCTCTTCCCACGTTAAATGCTACCAGGTCTCGTCTTTTTTGTTTCTCTCTACAATACCGTGAAGTGAATAAGGTGGGTAATTATAACCTTTTGAGATGAAGAAATTGGCGCCCAGTGAATTACAGTTTAGTAGAAAGTGCACTACGTTAAGAGGGACTTGAATTCTGAATACAACTATGTCACTAGCAGCCTTTTGATTTTGGTCAAGTCGCTTAGAAATTTTTGTATCTTTTTTCCCATCTGGATGATAATGAGGAGCTCAATTCAAGTCTTGCTGAGGTCTTTTCAGGATGCCAAGCTTTCTGATTCTAATTGACATGCTTAAAGTCACACAACTGATTACTGGCAGACCCCAGCGGAAAATGGTTCAAATCTAAAATGCTGCTGCTCCTCCCTTGATGGCACGTAGGGAGCCACTACTCTTCCCTCTGTTCTTTGTTCATTATTTCTTCTGGGAAAGGACCTTGACAGGCCAGGTGCTCCCCAAATGCATACAGTGATCTGTTGACTATATGTACACAAGATTGAAACGGGGCATAGAGACACCCAGCATAGTGAGAGAAATATGGTCAGGGAGTTCCCAGCCCAAGAGTTTAATTTGTTTTTATTTTAATACACAGCTTCCACAAGGTGAAAATTGAAGAAATATTGGTCTTCCAGATACTTGTTTTCATTCGTACTCTATTGCATAAGGAAATAACATAGAATATAAAAATGAAGAAA